GCATTTCGCGCACTCGACACGCACGATCTCCGCAGAGGGTTGCGCGCGGACCGGACAAATCGCACTCTCGCCTGCATTTCGCGCACTCCACACGCACGATCTCCGCAGAGGGTTGCACTTTCGGTTGACGCTGTTCGTCCCACACTCCGCCTTTAAGAGAGAATTTATAAAGTGGGGAAATGTTTTTTCATTAGGACATCTCCCGTGCTAGTTTTCCATATTTACCATACTCACACTTGCCCTTGCATAGTCATTGCATGTTTGCATACTCACACTTGCATACTTTGACCCCGGCAATACTTCGCACTTGGATGCTTTCGCCCTGGTATACTTCGCACTTGGATGCTTTCGCTCTTCCAGTGTGTGTGTATGTGTGTCAGTGTGAGTGTCGAAGTGTAAGTGTGTCAGTGTGAGTGTCGAAGTGTAAGTGTCGAAGTGTCAGTGTTCAAAGGATTTTCCGGAAGAACCCTTCGCAGTGCTTTCGGGAAAAAAAACGTTTCTCACTCACACACACGCCTGCCCCTGTCCATTGGACTTTGAAGTCTTTGGACTCTGAACTGAAAAGCCAACAAAGACCCTCATCATGTCCCAACAATTCGGCACGATGATGCTCTAACTCCCCAACTCTCATTTTCAAAGGAGCACAAAAGCTGGAGAGGTGTTCTGGGATCCAACTTGTTTGTTGTGGCTGATTGCAAAAAAATCACCTAACATCCCAGCATGACTGCGAAAAAACCAGAGCATCCAGGGTAATGGCGAACCATGAACAAGTCGGAGAGGTGTTCTCAGAACACCTCTCCAACTTCCCGGCCCTTGCCCAAGCCTAAGTTGGAGATATAAACTCTGCTCGGCAAATTGTTTGATAATAGCGAAACGTTTAGGGCTTAGGGTTTGCAAAGTCATGTCGTTTTTTTGACTTGCTGTGATTGATTTTGACATGGAAACCCGACTGGCCTCTCTGAACTTTGTCAGGGCAATGCTGGCGGCAATGTCAACTATCTCTGACTGAGCGCTGAAAGGACCACGCCAAAACGCCTCGTTTTTTTATGCTGAAGCACATCACCGAAGATGAAAAGAAGGCTCCACTTGCTGGAGGCCAAACCTAGGCACAAATTCGATCTGACTGTAGCCCTCCCCAAATATATGATGCCCATCACTTTGCAACCCCTTTTGAAAAATTGAGGGTGGAACACCCATCTTCATAGCGAAGACCCGGAAATCATCAATAGTCGCTCCCACATCCATCAATCCAGCCTTCTGCAACATGTCAAGGCTGCCTTTCAGCAACCTTCCGGCACTTTTCCAAACCTGTTGAGCAATCGAGCGGAATGTGCCTGGCTTCAAAGCAGGCCACCCCTTCACTTCCCCACCTGTTTCACTGGCAGGGCTTGTCTCATCGCCCTGATGGCACATCTGCCATGTGTGTGGCGCCATGCGTGTGGCACAGGTCCACTGGCTGGCCAGCGCCAATCCGCTGCTTCTTTTTGGGTGGCATGTCAGGACACAGTGCTGAGCAAACGCAAAGCTCGAGCTAGCACTTAACGAAGTCGTACTCACTCACTCCTTGAAGGGCGGCATGCTCCTGGAGTAGTTAATTTGCAAGCGCTTCTTCTATGTGTGCCGACAGGTACACGCGTTTCAAATGAAGGATCCCCAAGTTGACCATACCTGGCCTGTGCACACAACACTCTCCAAGCTTTGGTGAGGACATATTTGCCACCAGGGATAGTGCACGGTGCGATGCGAGGGTTCGACTGAACATACCGCTGCCTGGTGAAGTTCTGGTCCTTATATGGCCATTGTTCGCAGCAGTGTCACCATGAGTGTGCACACATGCAGAAAAATGGACCTGCAATCATCAAAAAGTGTGACGCAACCATGTTCAACATTAGACACATATGAAGTTTGCACTGAGCTCTAGTCCACCTGGATCACAAGGGCTTCGGAAAAAACATCGATATCATACTTCTTTGCAAGCTCCACTGCAGTAACTGCCAAAATGGCAAGCTCTCGATCTGACACCTGCGCCTTCATGATGTGAAGTTTCTTGAATGCCTGGTTGACTTGAGCCTGCGCGAAGTTTACATCAGAGAGTTGATCAGTTGTAGTGCGCATTTCCAGTTGCAGACCCTTTGACTCAATAGTCTCAGGACAAGGCCTCCCCGAGGCTCTTCTTGGCATCATTCAAATCCTTGTGCCACTTGCCGTCAGTCTTTGGACCTACCTTCTGCTGAGTCCCCTCATCCTCCAATGGAGACGGCCCACGGCTGACAGCCACACAGCAGCTAAGCTGAGCAGCGGCGCACTGAAAGGACCTCAATAACAATTACAAATTACAAACATATTACTACAAACAATATACATAATAACAAAATATATATATTATATACTATGCGAAGGCTTCCAGACAAACAAACAGAAATGTGACAAAGTCTCTGACTATAATAAATGCGGACAAACCACAACATAGTTTCTTGAATGTGCCTCGGAGATATATGCCCACCTTTGACCTGGTCCCTGCGAATGTACATCATCCACACCCTGTTTCGAGACTGCGGCAAACCACATTCACAGGTATTGGCCAAGACATAGCTGCAAATGTACTTTTGGGAAAGACGTGCATTCTGGATGTCAATTGGTTTCCTGTAGGAGTCCTGCTTTCGGGCTTGTAGCATTTGTCTCACGTTCTCTAGAATAACTAGAGGTGGCTGGTACTTCTCAATGCATTTCATGACAGCATGGTAGCCGCTTCCAGTCTTGGCCTCCGCAGCCTCAAAGGGCTGGGGAGATCCATTCAAAGATGACAGGCTCACACAGGGATAGCCTGCCACCAGGACTTGCACCTGTGCAAGCTTGTGGGTGTTTTGATGATTGTGGCTATTCTTGATTTGGTACTGCTTTTGCACAGTGCCTAGCATGTCATTTGACCCTAAAAACAATAAGCCCCTGCCTCCGGAACAGGACACGTGTGCCCTTGACGAGTAAAGTCTCGACCAAACCCAGTGTCAAGTTCCTTGAAGTCCACGAAGATAGGGGTTTGAGGGAAATTGGATGCCAAAACCTTTTGCCGATCAGAATTGCACTCACACATGAAGGTGTGCTGAACCTCACACAAGGCATTTCAATATCACTTGTCATGCAGTATACAGTCAGCAATGCCATCAAGAAAAACAACGATCTATATAATGCAACTTCGAAACCTTCACCCTTGTATCTGGAAAAGCTGAATTCCAGAACTCGTTGAAGGAGGTTGTCACCATCTCCTGTGTCCCCCATCCTGAACAAATCGTGCCAACCTTGATCACTCCATTCAGTGAATCGCGAACCTGGCGCATAGTTTCCACAAGCCGGTTTCGGAGATTGCAGAAATGAGGCAACCCCAATTGGTGAGCCATCCAATCATCAACCTGGCGCTGGCTTTAAGCTTGAACGATAGACGGAAACAATGTGCCCAACAAGAGAACATCTTCAGCTGAGTAACTCCACACGCAGTCTCTTGGAATGAAGGCAGAGTTTGTTGTTTCTCAGGGCTAGCCGCTGTAAGCTCATGCTCTTCATCAGATTCCTCCATGATCTCCATAGAAGGTTTTTTTCTTGGGTATCCTGAGAACACTGGATGTTTGGACCAAAAAAACCCTAGCCGCTAGCAGTTCCATACAACACAACAGGAAAGGCCCCCGCTCTTCATCGGACTCGAGCAAGACGTCATTGCCGCTTGGGGTCCTGGATCGCTGTTTGCGCCACACAAAATAACCTACACTCCAATCCCATTTCTGCTTGTGAAAATCCAGAATAGAAGATTGGGGCTGCCATCTATCCCATGAGGAGAATTTGGAGGGAGCCTTTGGAACATTGCAAATGCTACTCGATCCTTTTTCATCACATTTGCAAGGCTGGCAAGTCATCTGGGCCTTCATCAGCGCTCCCCTCAGAATCTGAGTCCTGGGGGCTCTCAGGAAGTGAAACATTCACATGTTTCATCCTGAGAGGGGGCATCCACGAACCAGGAGCAGGTAGCGGTGATCTATCCCACCTGTAGCTCAAGACCTGGTAGGAAGCTGGCCGCGGGACAGGTGGCAGATTCCCTTGGCACCACCCAGCCAAGTAGTCTGCAGCTTCTTGGGTGATCTCCCCACGCGCAGCGCACTTCGGGGCCTGCCGCAGGATCATCCCTTTCACTTTGGGGGCGATGACTCTCTTTTCATCAACACCATTTGGCGGTGATATTCCTCGTCGGATCTGCTCAGCCTTCTCAGCTGGCACTACACACTCAACCAGAGACACTGACTGGTCCCCTAACCATCTCTTTGGGTACAACATGATGTCCCCAGAGGACTTCTCAAACCGGTCTGGTAAATCTCTGACCTCTGCACATTCGTTGAGACATCAAGACCCAAATCAGATCTGGAGACAAAGCGAAAGTAGTGCACATGACCTGACTGTTGATCACTCTAAGCTTGAACAACCACTCTGAGTTTGTGCCATTGATTAAAAAACACACACAAAAACAATGCCACCAAAAATTAAAAAAGCATCAGAATCAAAACTGGAATCTAGTTGCGCAATCCTGTGAACTTGACTCCCAATTGTCGCACCCAACACTTCCAATCAGCAGCCTGGTCAACGAACGATGCAAACACATGCTGACCCCGAATCTGGTGGCGCTGCTGGTGTCCAGCACTGGCATTGATCAGGTCGACCAGGGCATCAGGAGTTGCAAAGCACGATCTTGCTATCAGGGCTCCAAGTTGGCCAAACACCTGATCAATGTCCTCGTGACCTTGCTTGGCTGTGGCTGGCTGGAATCAATCAGACACAAATGGGGTTCCCACAACATAACATATAGTCTTTAATGCAAAGTAATCAAAATGCCATCAAATGTCTATGGCCACTTCTTAGATAGCACATGTAGTGGCATTGAAAATGCGCAGAAGGACCAAGAGGCACATTGCGGCCAATACATATTGGTTCTTTCCCTCTCGCCCACAATTGTCCTGCTGCAAATGCAGGACTAGGGAGAGGTCAGTGTAGGAGTCGAGGATGCTGGATAGTCCATTGAACAGGTGTTCGAGTTGTGTGCAGGAGTTCTTCTTGAAGTCTTCGTTTGAGATCCAAAAAAGCAAAAGGAACCCATGCAGCCAGCACCCCACCAGATGCAAAGTTGGCCTGTACAGGGTCTCTAGGGACTTGCTAGGTCTGCCCCCTGACCCTTGGGCATTTGCACTTACCTTGATCCATCCCATCGATGATGCAGGTCAGCACTGACGATGAAGTAGAAGTGTTCAACCTTGATTGTTTTTTTTTTTGGAAATCATCACAACGAATCAAAGGCCATTGAAGCAATTGCCAAGAAACTTCGGGCCACAATGCAAAGCATCACCTTGGCTTTCATGATTCGGGACAACGCAAGGCAAATTCTTTCATCGCCAGTAAAACCAGAGGACCTTGCTTACAATAACCCAGCTCTTGATTGTGTTCTAGTTTCACCTTCTCAAGATTGAGAAATCTTGAGTCGTGGGATTTAGGAAGTTAGACCATGTTTGATGCCAAGGGGCGAAACCAAGATTGGGATAAAGTCCTTTGATGCCAGTAGCACTGGCGATCAACCCACTGTGAGAGCAGGTGTGAGCTGTAGATTCTGTATGCTTTGGCTCTTTCCTCACTGTTTCTTGCCTTAGTGATGGCTTTCTTCCGAGAACTGCAGACATTGCACTCAGCATGCTCGCCTTTTCCCCTGAACTTCAAGTGGTCTTTGTATATTGAATGGAAGAAGATTCTCAGGAATGTGGCCAGCCCTGCAGGGGTCTGATTGGCGGCAGTCTCGAAAGCAACATACTCGTAATACACATCAATCGGCTTGCGATGTTGGAGGTACCGCCTGGGTCCTCCAAATGTACCAGGACCTGCCTGGTCCAAGTCTGGCGTGCGGTGGTAGGAGTCCAGCCCTTGAAGGAACGAGGACACATAGCGAGTGAGGTAATCTTCATCCTTCTCCTCATCGTCACCCGGCTCTAAGCCTTCTGCCAGAAAACCGTTGGGCATTTTGAATCTAGTCGGTAGTACTTCTGCCGCGGAATGGTAGGGCAGGCAAAGAAAGCATAATACCCTGGGCCACTTGTCATTCTTTTGCTGCCTCAATGCCTTCCCACAGCCTGGATGCTTTGGCAAAGGAGTCCGCTTCTCCTGTGTGTATCCACTTTGGCCCTGTCTCAATTTTGCAATCACTGATGAACCAATGCCCATGAGCCGCTAATGGGCAGCTTTGCACACATGTTTGCACAAGAAGGTTAAGCTTTCAGAGCAACGCTTGTTGTAGTTCCGGGCCCGCTTTGCCGCAGGCGGTTCCTGCTCACCATGCGAAGAGCAAGACTCACACAACACTGCTTGGCCTTCATTCCCAGAGCTTTGTGACTCCACCAAAATCTGTTCTGTGTCCACTTCTCTGTCACTCTCCACCAAGACACCCTCAGCCTCACCTATGGCTAAATCAAAGGAACTCTTGATGTTGTATTGGGAAGTCACCCAAGCGTCCTACACATGGGGATCGGTGCACATAGAGTTGTGTGGGTTACAAAAACAATATTTCAGGAAACTCGGAAAACTTGCCAGTTAGTCAAGGGAAATCAATAAAACAATAAACAACCTGTTCTCCTTAGCAACGCCATCAAGAGCCTCAAACTTCTTCCTAGCAGACTCTACCGACGCGTCCATCCCCTCAAACTGTGAGAAAAAATTCCACGTGTGCACCTGCACCTCCGAGAGAACAAGTCACTCAGCTGGAGTTTCCTCCCATCAGAGGACTTCTGCTTCCGCCGTGCCAGTCTGTGAGTGAGCTCAAACTCATCATCTGAAGATTCTGGGTGAACCAGTGCCATCACAACCAGTTGCAGAGTGGCTGTTGCCAGCTGCTAGCTATAGGATGACCCCGTTGTATTCTGTACAATACCTTCAGGTCTTCACGCTTGAATTGTTTGTGATTGCTACTGGTCCTTCTGTTTTTAGCAGATTCAATTCAGAAACTTGAGCCAATAGGTTCACCACGAAAGTGGTTTGTAAGAATGGTCCCTCCAAAAAACCCATTGCCCAGCAAATTCAGTCCTTGTGAGACCATCGTCAGGCCGCGCTGCAGCTGGGCGCTTGCCAGCCGACGGGCGTTTGAACGCAGCTGGCCGCTTCATGCCTAGGGACCTGAATCTATATCCCGAGCCTAATACCAACCCTGCGCAACAACAGCTAATCCAAAGCATCAACCATTGGCCCCACCAACTTTGGTGAAACCACCAACTTACCTCGAAGTTCTTTTAAACTGACATAGTCCCCGTCAGGAGGGTTTGAGGGGGGGCATTTTCCAGCAGGTGGAACGAAAATGAGTCTTGAGCGCATTTACACCGTAGGGGTCATGGCAATTGATGAACCTTGGTGCTGAACCTACGCCGGGAACGGCGGCAGAACCGGCGGATCGCTAGACCAGGACCATCCAAGGGGTGTCCTGTCCAGACTACCCGTCGATCTAGATTTGCTTAGAGATCTCCATTGGACAACCTTGAAGCAAGGTCTAGGGATTCAACTTGAAGATCTTGAAGCAAGTGCCTATCAAGATGTTTTCCTTCTCGAATGGCCTAAAATAAGACTCCTGGAGTGCTCCACAACAGGCATGCGTCTGAGATCCGAAGAAGCATGCCTTTTAGGAGAAAAACGCGGTAGATCTTCATTTAGCCGCAGTCAACTGTGCTCATCTACAGCCGCTCCTTCGTCCGACTTAACCCGTATCAGACTGAGGAGAATGGCACTTTGTCTGCTGGGAGGCGGGAAAAGCCGGAACGCTGGGGTTGGGGCACCTGCCGTGGAAGATGGCTAGACCAGTCAGTTGAACATGACCCAAGCTGAAACATCACAGACATTTGCTTTCATGAAGCCAGTTGTGTCAATCCACCACATGACAGACAACCTTTGAGTTCACTGTTCACTAAGTTTGTTTGGTTTCTCGGGCTGGTGGCTTCAGGGAAGACCGTTCCCACCCTCAGGTTTGTTGGTCCATCCACCAGGTTCCCATCGATGACCCCTCCCACCATGACCAGCTCTTCGTCGAGAGCCCGCGCGCGGAGAGGACAGCCCTGGATGAGACCGACGTTCAAGGCGCGTTTAAGCGTGTGAACTCAGTCTGGCGGAACGTCATCGAGGAGGACGGGCAATTTGCTCCAGAGCCCAATCGTCACTGGGGAGATGAAGGTGTTTCCGCGCCCAGGGGGCCAGGCCAAAGGACTTGTATATGAATAACTATTCAATATATTAATATATATATATATTATATATAAATATGTATATTACCTGGACCATCTGGACCTTCAAAGCGGTGTCCTGGCTGGAGTTGGTGTTTCCAGCCAGGTGACCCCGGAATGGAAGGTGCTGGCATGAATCCTTTGCACTACTAGGTGTTGCTTAGAAGGGAGCCCAGGAGCTGGAGGTATCCATTCTAGTCTGGTCGTTTGGCGCACAACGGGACGAGGGAACTCCTTGTCCGGTTACACAGGCGCTATTTGTGGTCAGCTTAGAAGCTCATCACTCTCAGACATAGTGGATGCATTGATTGTAGTGATGTAGAGTGATTATAGGTATATAATGGTGTATAGCATTGTATAGCCGTATAGCCTTTCTTTCAGCAAGGGCCCTGGTAGGTTCATTTGCCATTCTCGGATATCACGTTGAGCGGAATAAGGGGGGCAGAACACCGCAGCGGAAGAAGGAATCTCAGTTTTGCGCTATCGCCGGCTAAAGGACCCAGCTGATTGATGTTGGTTTCCCTTTTCATCAGACTTTACGGTTGGTGCAGGCCTCAACACTATACGCCTGTGCCGGGGCGGTTTGTGTTTGTCATGACCTCGGTGGCACGGGTGGAACGGAGTTCACTCAAGGTTATCACCTCTATGTGGCTTTAGCCTGCCCTTGGGCGGATGGAGCGCTTGCAGCTCTCTTCATGCCACCCGACTGCGATCGACGTGGGGCGTCGAAGACGTGGCCCATTGAGAGCGCCGAAACGAAAACGGACGGAGGGAGTGACCTGAAAACATCTCTGCACCAGGGGCCCCACAAACAACCCAAAACCGGGGTTTCCCTAGCACAAAAGCATGGTTTTGGACGCTCCATGTATGCCATATATGCCTACATTGACCCCCAAAACCACCCCAACTGATCGGCATATATGGCAGTCCCATGGAGTGTCTGGGTATGGTTTGGTGCGATGAACACCTTTCTTTTTCATGGTATTCAAACCGGAGGTTTTAGAGGCCATTGGAGTCATTGGTCGCCCATCCATGAGGGGTTGATTTACTTTGGCATGTCATGTTGGGAAGGGTGCCAAGTAATGAACTACAGTAACTAGTTGTCCTATGACGCTTCCTGTGACGCATCACTCGTCCTAGATGGCCTCCCCAACAGGATGGCAGGTCTTCCAGGTCTTTGATGTGGTTTTTGGTGGTTTGGTCCATGGAACAAACATGTGGCATAGCCTCTCAGGCTCACAATCATGTCATGTGGCTTCAGCAGCTGCCAATCCCCCGCAACCGGCGTTGCAAAGACAACAACACCGTCCGGAGAAGTACTATCAATTTCTGGTGTTTTAAAGCCATGTGGCGCCTTAGACCGCCAAAACGAGCATAATCCGTTGGATATTCATTAGAACAAAATAGAATAATATTTCAGTAGAACATAATAGAATCATATATAGAATCATCATGATGAAGATATATAGGGCCCTAACAGGACTGGTTTGGTTAAATCAGTTTGCCAGAGGCACACTTTCTCCCAGTGCGTGTGCGTGTGTGTGTGTGTGTGTGGGTGTGTTTGTGTACACGTACTACGCATGCGCCGCAGCCCGCACGTGGGCAGGAAGGGTTTGGAGGATTGCATCGGCTACAGCGTGGTGCACCCCACCTGGCAACGAAGCCGCCCAGAAGATCCACAGGATCAGCATCATGGATGGACCTTCCGCCACTGAGATGCGGAAGTGATGCATTTGGGGACGGTGGTTGGGGAATGTGCAATTGGGAGGCATTTTTTGGGGGTGATTGATGATGATTGATGGACCTGTTACCTTTTGATAACCTGGTTTGAGGTCACTCAAGCCTTCTAAGGGTCACTTAGGAAACTTGAAAGGTCACTTTGAAGAAGCTGGGATATACTTCGGATTTCGGTGCTCAAGAGAAACATGATCATCAACCAATGAGGATTGTTAGCGAATGTTAGTGATATAGAAGTCAAGAGTGGCGCATTTCATGAGGAACCCAGCATGTGGCTGTGATGATTCTTTCTTGGGCCGAGCCAATGAGAGCATGATGATACAGCTGGACAAAGAACTTGGGTACATGGGCATCTTGTTGGTAAAAGTCTATCACCGAGTTTTATTCGTTACTAGTAAGTTAAAACACATTAAGCAGAACACGAATTTACACAAAACCCAAATTTATGGTGCAAGCACTATATCTATTGATCGGTCGATCAATCTATTTATCTATAATATCTTTACCTACCTACCCACCTACCTACCTACCCTACCTACAGTACCCCACCTTCCCTACCTACCTACCTACCCTACCTACCCTACCTACCCTACCTACCTTACCTACCTTACCTACCTTACCTACCTTACCTACCTTACCTACCTAACCTACCTAACCACCTACCTACCCTACCCTATCCTACCCTACCCTACCCTACCCTACCTATCTCCCTACCTATCGCTATGCCATCATCATTCTTCGCGACCTCCGAACTCACGACTCACCTCGGGCGTTCCTTAAGGTCAACCCGGCGACGCACCGTTGTCGAATGGCCTGGGCCACCGGATTGCAGAGCGGGTCGCGGTGGTCGCCTCGCGGACGCCTCGGTGGTGGACTTGGAGGGTTTGGACCCGACTCACACCATGTAATACCCTTTGGTCAAAGCATCTAAGTGGTACCTTGGGCGCTATGAGCGTACGACTGGGGAATGGGTGGGTGTGGGTGGGTGTGGCTCGACGTTGGCTTCGACCACATCATCCACATCGGATGGAGAGGGGCTCACAGGGACCAGATGTGAATTGTCTCGAGTTCTTTCACTAGTTGTTGGTGGCCACCCTGGAGGCGATCAACAGATTTTTGATGCCGGGCACCATTTCAATACCCCGTATACAATGAATTACACGAAAAGTGCATATTGATACATTGATTATGTTTCCGCTGCTCTTTTACTCATACAACGGGGCTTCGTGAGGAACAGGACCAACAAACAAAGACTGGTCGCCCATAGCCTTGCTTCTCCAGGCCATGGCAGCTTTGAGTGCGACGACGCCCTAGTGCCGGATTCGGTGAATGGTGCCAAATTTGTGCGGGATATCTACGAGAAGGTGAGGCACCAGACAATGAGCCGTGACTGTTTGAAGTTTCAGAATGTTCTCAGATTGAAACCCTGCAAGTCTTTCAAGCTCTGAAGATGGGTATTTGCAAAAGGTCATTTTGGGAGACAGCTTTGAAAAAGGTCATGCACTGAAGAATCTGCCATGCCTGTTTGATCACCAATAGTGAATTGCATTGAATTGTTCAGTTTAATGTTTTATACTCGGATACCAGTGTCTCCGTGGCACTTCTCACCCACAGAGCATGAAATACAAAGTGCAATTACGTTTGTTCATATCATTCGCCCAAGGTTTGACAGCGTAGGTTGTTCTCCTCAGGAGAGCTTAAAAGACTGAGAGGATGTCAGTGGCCATTGGGTTTCGGCACCGTCGTTCTGATGATTCAATGACACAGAAAGTATCGGAAACATGCGAGCATTAGGCACCCCATGTTCTTTTAGAGGGCATGAGAATTATATATATACACATGATGTTGCGAGATGCATTGTGCATTCTGAAGTCCCTCTGCTTTTGCATTGTGCATGTGCTTCGTCCAACATTGGACACCAGGCCGGCGATACCGGCGGCAAGTATTCCACTCCACTGCTGTGGGACAAGAAGCAGAACACCATTGCGTCCTCCTCAGTGGGTGAGGGGTTCGTGGGTCCGAAATCTCCAGGTTACTGGGCGCTCTGAGGCGAAAGGAATGGACTCTTGGGACTTTGGACATCCAAGAGAGGTTGAGAGACCATATAGGACCCTGGGATGTGGTACATCTGGGATGGGCTATAGTAGGGCTGTTCCACCTCTCTTGGATGCTTTTGGATTGGGCAAGCTTCTTGTTCCGTTCGTAGTAAGAATGCTCCGTTCGTAGTGATGCCAGGAGCCCCGTTCGTAGCGTCCGATCGCTCCTAGTAGCAAGGCCAGCCCCTAAGCATGTTTTCAACACTTGGATCTTGTTGGCCATGTAGATGTTTGGTTTTGCCTTGCCACTATGGGTGCCGATGCCTACGAGTGCGAAGCATGTATTACATACAGTCAGTACAGCATGCATCGGCCGCCGCAGAAATCGGATCCTGACAGCTTGCGCAAGGCTTCGGTTCTATGTTATGATTGTTTTGTGCGAGTGCGGTGTTCTTTTGCTGATCGGGGTTCACGCCTGCAAGCTTCCGTGTTGTAGGTTTCAAGCCGAAGGTGGTTCCGTGTGCGGTGGTGCAGAGCTGCTTCACTGGTTTGCTTGCTAGTACGATGGACCCATGTGCGTCTCTCGTGGCCCAGGTGAACAACGAGTCGATGGACATTCTGCGCTGCTTCGTGAAACGATGGGATCAGCAGTGAAAAATCTCAGAATTCGCAAAATGAAAATGAACAAGAAACCCATAGGAAGGATTGGGGTGACGGTTGAACACCATGGTTTCCCGTAGAGTTTTCCCTTCAATCCATTGATTCAAGGATGGAGGTCCTGCGAACCATGCCATGAAAGGAGTGGATATGCGGCACACCAGGTGTTTGTAACCCCCATCTCTCAGAGACTTACACGTAGGAGAACTGACTGCAACGAAATCCCAGAAACCTTCGCAGAACTTCGTGGAAGGAGAACCCTGCGTTTAGCCTTCATTATTGTTGCATGGTTTGGAGGGCTGGTAGTAAGGTCTTGGTCCATTAGGGGGGCCGCTGGTGACCGCAGCCTTTTTGGGGACCGAAGGGTATGAAGTTCTAAGGTCTCCAGGGAGGCTCCTGATCGGCGGAAGGGGTGAGCTAAACTCCAAGGCACCGGGTATGACCTCAAAACAATCTCAAAAAAGTTTGACAGAAGTTACTACGTGGTGTTTACTCTCAACATGAGCCTGGTTCAGCTTCAACATGCCATGCAACGCCTTCCTGACACTCAACATTAGCATTAAGGTGTATCATATTCGGATCCCTCACCGGTTGGAAAGAATGGAAAGAAGCGCGCTGAGTTGGGCGGTCTTGGCGCGGACTGAGGCATGTTCAACAGTAAGTTCAACAAATGGGCCAAGATGCCGGAACCTTGGAGTCCAAAGCAGAGCCCAACGACGACTCCAAAGCACCCTCCCACGCCCCTGCCGTCAGCCTGGGAGTTTAGGGTTGGAGATGGTTGGAGGGAGAAGTTGACATGTTGCAGTTTAGGGGTGCCCCCTTTTCCCGGTCGTGCAGAGCGTCTCGCGCAGCCTGGGGCGTCCTTTGGGGCGGGCTGAAGAGCCATCTTCAAGAACATGAAGCAGACATGAATCCGTTCCTGAACCAACATCCTTAAACTCGTGTTGTGGTTTTGGGCTCCTTTGCTCTTTGCTCACAGCCCACCAAACGCTGTGAGGGTCATCGAACACATCAGACCGAAACACATCAGCGATCCACGGCTAAAGAGGTGAACATGCCCATCACACGCAGAGAACTGGATGAGATGGAACCTTTTGTTGATGTTTGTAAAAAACAACAAAACGTTCCATCTCATCAACAAAACGTTATGTTTTTTGGAACAACAACTTCAAAACGTTAGAAAGTTGTTTTGTTGTTTTGAAGCCACTTTCTAACTATAACGGATCGGAATTTCAAGCTACAGATCTCCCACATGGGTCGCCGTGTTTCCCTTAGGAACTGGACTTGTTCCCCGCCAGCCTGGAAGCGGACTGCGAAGCGGCCAACGCATGGATTTATCCGAACATCAACAACGGCGTTTACAGGCCCGACTTGGCAGATCTCCGATCGGTCGGGCGCAGGTGGGTGGAGCATGGTGGAGTAATGGAGGTGTGTGTTTTAGTGTAGGCTAGCTCTTCAGAATGCCCAAGAAGATGTGCCGAACTAAGCCTAAAGGAAGCTTGATGACAAGGGAAACCATGAATTGGGGAACTTGAAGAAGTCAAACTGAGAAGTCAAACACGCTCATTTACACGAAGAACGCTCACAAACAAGAATTCCGTATCAAAGTAGCAGTTTGGCAGTTTGTCAGCAATTTCTTTATCAATGGAAGGTTCAGGAATTAAATCCTCAGCTGTGTTTGCAGCGTTGGTCCCAAATTGGGGAAGCCTTTGCACCCTTCGTTAGGTGTGGCTTCGCCAAGAGCCAGGAAGCCTACGACATCGCTGCGCAGGCACCAAACAGAGCAAGCATCCCTAATCCAGCTTTTGCTGTTCTTTGTTCCAAGTTTTAGTGAATTTTAGTGACCAGGCCATGGCAAAGGCCCAAAGTAGACCATCTCGGAGCTGTTCAGGACCTGGCGGGTGCCCTTTCAAAGGCCGAAGAGCTCTTGTCGAAGCAGCGGTACGTGTGCGGGGACACCTTCACCTACATGGATCTTCGCCACGATGACGCAAGATCCATCGTGGTATCGCCTTCAACAACGTGGTTGGTTTAGTCTACCAGCACCCGACGGCCAACAGGTCACCACCTGACACTTTTAAGTATCCAAAAAGCTACCAGAGGAGACCTGTTGGAGGGTGCTGGTAGACAGTGTTGGTGTTGTGGTTTCTTTTGTTTTTACACTCCCGAAAACGGGCCCATGGGAAGTGGAGAATGGCCCCGAAAGGAAGACCATGAAATCCACGACAAACAGGTGGTTTTCCACTTCCAGTTCCAGGGAGAGTCATGTTCTATAGGAATCCTGCGTCCAAGAGGCGGATGGATCATGATGGATGACCACACCACGAACAGCGAATCACGACGCATCACAACGAACAGCTCCAGCCCGCCTACCGAAGAAGCAAATTTGCAAACAACACCTGGACCCTCACAGATCAGTGCCACACCATTAAAAGTGACAGGTCCCGGCATGAGGTGTGATGAGTGAATGCTCTTCTTATATTCAGCATGACCTTCAACGTTTGACTGTCAACCCCAGTTTTGCATAGTTTTGCTGTTTTGTTCTTAGACATCAGATTTTGTATAATGATCATAATTCTGTTCAGAAAAGTCAGTGAACCAGAGGTTTGCCATTTCGTGTCCATTTGTTGTTTATGAGATGAGCAGCTCAACAACCACCAACACCAGCGATGAGCAATGAGACAAGAGCGGTCGTGAAATGTAAACAACTTGTGTGACACCTGGCTCCACCATAGTATCAACCAGTATCAACATGCATGTATAAACGCATCTTCAGCTGTCAGTGACAAATCCGGCTGAAACACAGCGTGGCTGGACCTAGTCACCGTGAAGGTCGCACCCTCAAAACGGTCGGCTAGACCTTCTAAGTCGGTCGACTATACCGTTTTGGGCAAACGATAAGGCCTCTTCATGACCTTGATTCGCTTTGATGCGGTCTATGTGGTCTACTTCAAGACCAACATGGGCACCATTGAGATGAATTTCCCCAATTTGTTGGAGTACTGCAAGGACCAGGGTTTAAACTTAAACCACCAGGCCCGATCGAAAAGAGGAACATGGTCTTCCAGGGGCCGGTCTGTTCCACTAATTACTATATAATTGTTTCAGGGAGTGTGCGATTATATACCCAAAGTATGTGATATTTAGCTACATTGCGGTGGTTTGAGGGGTCAATTAGGTACATATTCCATACATGGAGTGTTTTGGATAGTGTTATCGAATGCGGTTGAATACTTACCCACATTCGGGTTGCTTCACGGTCAAGGTAGGCAGGCATGCCATATTAACAGGACCTTCTTCCAGCAACACAAACACGGGTATCACCGGGATTCGGCTTCTTATGAAGGCGCACGCCTGAAGGCATCGTATTTGTTCAACTGAGATTTTGTTTGAGCCATGCTTTGGTTTTTGTTTGCAGGTCAGTGGTCCAAGTAGGGTGGAGATTTGGAGTAGAAGTTTCTTCCATGTTGGATGGAAGTTTGTTCCTTTGGCCCTTTGGCTTTAGCTTTCACCAGAGCAAAGGCATGTTAATCGAGAGAATTCCTAAAGGATTCGTAAGAATAAGCTACCTTTATCCTCATCCCAGCCGATAGAGGTACATGCTTTTGATGCAGGGCTTCTTTAGGACTCTGAATGAAACTGTTTGCTTTCCAGTCACGGCAAGACCGTAGAGTTGTGCCCATTGAGACCGTTCAGACACCACATGTTGTTGTTCTCTAGGGGTGCTGGAGCCATTTCAACCGTGAACGACACTTGAGGTTTGGGAGGCTGTTCTCAGAAAGATTTAAGAAGGAATGCGGTGTCCTTCATGCAGCTTGCGGCAGCTCCCTCCCCCAGTGAATATTCCCGTGGACCCTGAAGAGATGCTGTTGGGACTCTTTGTGAAGTCCGTGGAGGTTTGCATAAGGGCTTGCCGGGACAAGTTTGTAGGATTTGAGCCCGGAATTGAGAAAGGTCATGGGAAGCTCCATCTTGCACCGGCTGATCTGGCAGGATGTTTATCAGGTGCCGGGCATGGCAAAGGCCTGCCTGGTGAGCTGGTGTTCTTCCTACGGGTTGGGGCTTTGTTTTTGCCTAGGCCTATTGTACCCAGGCTTGGCCAGGCCTCCGTTTCAGTGTGGTGAAGAGAGTCCTCGTCAAGAATTCTGAAGATTCTTGTGTTTTGGGACGGTTCTGCCATCCGTTGCCGAATGTCGTTCCCAGCGCGATGGAGGGATAGACGTTGCCTAGAAAACTCAAGCAATAGACCTCTTGTTTGTAGAAGAAGTGAGTCTTCCCAGGGTTTGCATTTCCTTTGTCGCTATGTGCTCACAGAGTTCACTTGTGTTGGACAACTGAGCTGCACAGAGTTCACTTGGACATACAAAAACGGGTCAGCAACCCTAGGGCTCCAAATACCTTCTGAGAAGGTGTTTGGGGTGCTAGGTCTTCTAGGTAGTTCCTCATCGCGATGCGACGATGTGACGGGTGGGACCTGTTTTTGGTGGTCAAGCAGCTTGCAGCCAGCTTGGCTTCCCGAAAAGGCCATCAACATGCGGCACATCAAGATGCACTACTTCACCTCACATCCAGATCTGAACAAGTTCGCAGTGATCCCTAAAGGACGCGAGATTGACTATAGTGCTCCCCACAAGAGAGCCAGACTTTCCAAGTAAGGGCTTGGAGACCATTTTTCGCCCTGAGGACTGCAGAGCCTGGCGGAGCCTTGTGTTTTTGATTGTTTTGGTATCACCCCAGTCTTTCCAGCTACTCAGTATTTGCTCGAATGACTCATCATTCATCCATGGCTGGATATCCATGGTGGCAGAAGAGTACCCGTACTTAAGGAACTGCCTTTAAGGTGAACTTACGGCGCTATGTAGCTACCTTCTCCCCAGCAAGTAGCTACCTACCTTCGTAGACCTTATAGAGGGCAGCCTTCGGCATTGTTGGCACCTTTGCCACTTGGCACTCTTACAGTAGCCGGGAATTCCCCTCTTACAGTAGCCGGACGTTCCCCTTTCCAAGGAAGAAGCAACGACGCCAATTTCTGGCACTTCTTGAAAGACCAACATGGAAGCTCCATGATTCAGATTCTCCCCCCTATTCCAGGGTAGCTGAGACCAGGAGACCATGGGTTAATGGCCCTCATGCTTCCATTCCGGTGTTGCGGGTTCCTCCCGGAATGAGATGGGAGTATTGAAGACAATCTCAAGAACACAGGCTGTATATATAATTACTGGTGGAAGGCAACCTTCCTTGGTTTCCTAGTGTTCTTGCTGCCGTAACGCAACCTTCAACCTTCCACATCATTGGTTGTTGGAGCACTGGCAACAATGGCCTCAAGAGGCCTTAAGCATACTTGATACCTCCTCCGCCTGTCTTCACTCGCCTCAATGTGTCACAGCTGCACATGACATGGGATTCCTTGGATATACGATGGGAGCCCGACGTCGTGCGTTGCAACGGAGAACCGGCACGCCCGGCCTATGCCGCTGGACGTGGACGTCTGAAAAAGGAAATGACCGACTGATCATACCAGCTGCTTCCGTTCGGGGTCACCAATGGATATCTCCACACTACTTACAGGTCTCCAGACCGGGCACCCCTTGGAAGCGCTAGGTGCATCCTCTTGCAGCGCGGGTTCAGTTACGGTTAAATCAACGGCTCATCGATCATGATGTCGGTCACAGCTTGGACAGGGAGTTTGGTCATCCTGTCAGAGAAATGTTGCTTGCGTTGTGTGATTCCTGGTTTGCGGTGCATGTTTAACATGTTCTAAAACATTGGGTGTACATACCGTATTTATGTTACCATAGATGGGTCCAATCCCTGCAAAACATCCTATCGGATCCTATCATAGGTAGGACATTTCATATATGTGACTTGCCCAGTGACCTCTTGAAAGGACACATCATACATCTCAACATTATATGAGCTTTTTCGATAGGCTTTATTGTGTGTTTATATGTATATATGATGTATATGGATAGAGAGAGAGTGTTGTATAGTAGTAGAATATGCAGTATACATGTATGTGTATACTGTATTTATGTAGTAGTAGTAGTAGTAGTCGTAGTCGTAGTAGTAGTAGTAGTAGTAGAATATGCAGTATACATATATATATATATATTTGTGTTTCAGTGAGCTACTAATCTACCGGTTGTAGCCGCTTCATCCACCTCCGTCCACCATACACGTTGATTCCCGGCTCCAGGGAGCCGGGAGTCCACTCGGGCTGTGTACACCGACGAGCTCCACAACGGGCTCCACAACGGGCCACAAAGGAATTGCTGCAGCCCAAGTAGCAAGAGCCGGCAATCAGGCAAGTCCTTTGAGAGAATTTGTTGGCTTGTGATCTTCTTTGGTTTGACAAGTTTGACCAACCAAATTTCTTCGGGCTCCACAGGTGTTCAATTACATCCCATAAAATTCCTACATATTTATACACATCATCGAAGGATTTAGTAGGATTTAGTCAGTTACTTTACAAGTTTCCAGCATAGTGAAGAAGTGTTCTATGAACAACCTTCAAATGGGATTCTAAGACATCTTATATAGGTATACATATAATATATTGGTATATGTATAAATATATATTTATACAAAACAGTTTGTAGGTTATGGGTGTATATATATATATATATGATATGGCCCAACCATGTTATCTCAATCTGTTCTGGTCTGGGAAAGCAGTGGAGCTTCCCACGGCCTTCCCTGGACGGCCAGGGGCCACGGTGGGGACCCTCAGAAAGCGAGGCGGTCTGGATGCATGTGCCAGAATAGTGCCAGAAGACCTGGTTTGGCACATGCACCTTTTTGTACGTAGTTCGGAAGAAATGTGGCCAGAATCTCTTCCTCCCTAGAGAATGTTGGACACAACAAGCACTGTCCCCCTCACCTTGGCAGGTTGGGTTCTTTTGGCGGCACTGGAGGAATCAAATCCAGCTGAACAGTTGGTACAGTTACCAACCCGGATTTTTTTTTTGACATATCTGAATTTCAGCACAGAAAAAAGACAAGAAGATTCACAGAAATTCAAATACTCTCCCTGGAACTAACATGGAAGTGGAAAACCACCTGTTTATAATGGATTTCATGGTCTTCCAATTGACCTCCACGTCCCATCCGACCCGCTCTCCCGACCTCAGGTCGCGCTATCCCGAGCTGCGGAGCTTGTGCGCTGCCGCGAGGGGTCCCGAGGATCGGTCGGGAATGGAAGTTCCAGTTACGTCCAGTTGAGTGCATCAGGAATGGAAGTCGAACTAATTACAGCATGGGGAAGGCAGAAGACTTCTGTGGACCGGGTCAGGATTCTTCTTTTTGGAATGCGGCGCTTTGTTTTTTTTGCAAGTAAGGGCCCTGGTCCCCTGGTCCCACAAGTTTGGTGATCAAGGCGTTGGTAGGAATGAAAGCCGCCGCGCAGTATGACACAGCCGAGTCATTCAGAGGATCGACAGGGAGGATCCGTTGAGGTGCCGTCTAGTGACTAGTGACTGACAGGTTTGGGGCCATTGGAGGCCTGGTTTGGGGCGGTATTCACAGGTATTCAGAATCCTCCTCTTGCAGATTGCTGGTTGGGTCGTGTTTTCTCTTCACCGGCTCTCGTGTCCAAAGGTTTACAGCCAGACTTGGGTGAGAGAGAGAGAGGGAGATGAACAACAAACAAACAGTGAGATGAGGTGCAAGACTCCATCGACGAGTCCTCCTTTGCATGGCCAGCTGTCGCGAAGCTGCCTGTGGGCTCGGAGGAGATGTGCACTTCTACTGCGGCGCAGTGTGACTGGAAGGAACATACATACTTAGAGTTAGGGGTGTCGATCAACCACCCCAGTATGTTCAATCCCCATGGATCCACATACCTTGTCAGAAGGTGATTGGAGACTATTTATATATGTAGGCTTGAAGGGTCCAATTACCTTCTGAGAAGGTATGTGGATCCATAGGGAATTGTGATGTGTGTTTTTTTTTTTAATGCCCCTGGACCTTTGACAAGGAATGCTTGTGACGGTTTCTGCATCGAACCCGTTTTTAGGCGTGCTGGTGGTTCAGGGAGGTGGGGTAGGTGTTTGTTCTGTGGAGGTTTTAGTGCCAGACTGGTCCTGTTTGTCCGGATGCTCAGTCCAGTCCATCACTCTGTCCTCCAGAGAGGACAGACAATTGATTCGTCACCACGTGTTGACGCGTGTTTGGATGGAACACGTCTATGGACCGTGTTCCATTTGTTTAAATGTTTAGCAGGCGCAAAACGAGTGAAAAAGACTCTAGATGAAGGACAGATACACAGAAACAGAAAGACACACATCCCTGTGTCAAGCGACGGGACTTGAGACACAAGCATCCTGGAGGCTGGCGTGGCATCCTGTGGTCTTGTCCAAAGCCTTCAAAAAGACACTCCATGTTTGGAATCTAGACCTCTACCAGGGCCCTCGGGCCATGGGGTTTTCTTAATTATTGCCCCATAGAGGTGATTCGGGGTGCCCATTATCTACCCCATGGCCCAGGGGCCCTGGTACATGTTTCCCTCAAACCACCTTTGGCCCTGGCCTGATCGGGAGTTGCCAGTCTGTTGGAGTCGGAGGTCTTTGAGATCTTGGGGCGGATGTTTGTTCCATGCGCATCCAATGTTCCTTCGTTTTCCTGTAGAAGATCTCCATAAATTTTGTATAAAATTCCTATAGAAGATCTCCTAAAAGACTCCTATAGTTCTATATCGAAGATCTCCTTCCCCCTAAAGACTTGGAGATCCTCCATGAAATGAGCCGAAGACTCGAAATCCGCGTGACTCCGCCCGAGCCTGAAGAGGAAGTGGCGGTGCCCCTGTTCTCGCGTTTGCCCCTTTATGGACGGGACCGAGACTCAGTGGGGCGATCCATTCCGAAACCGGACTCGTTTCGGCCGCTTGCCGTGCCGGAGAAAGTGGTGGTGGTTGAGGGGTGGTAAGACCTTTTCGAACTTGCTGGATAGTTCTTTTTCATATTGTTCCTGATTGGTGTTCTCATCACACTGAGAAATGGACCAACACCGGGGGTGTTCGGCGTTCCCGTTGACCAACTCGTTGACCTTTGGAGATTGCCCTTCTTGAGAGAAATGACAAACACCAGGTGTTGAAGCATGTTGAAGCCCTTCCCTAGGGCTCCAGTCGCACCGAACTCCTTTTGTTTCGGTTGGACTGGGGGGCCCAGGTGCCAGGGTCCAGTCTGAGGAGGTGGGACTGGGTCCTGGAGCCCTGGGGGCCTTGGTGGCACCCAAGTGTCAATCCGACTGAGTGTTCTTAGAATTCAGCTCGAACCTGGGTGACTTGCATGTGTTTCTCTTGGCACTTCACGGATGCGGCAAATGGAAGGATGATTTGAAAAGCAGGCGAGAAGAGGCCGAGCATTAGAGACTGTCAAGAAGTCAAGGCATGTATTTCCATTGCCTTCCCATATAGGCCTGAGCATGGAACATCTACAAGGCCATGCCACATCTCTCCCTTCCCTTCCTCATTGCTCAATGTAGTGATGTCACTTTCGTGGGGTCTTCTCAAGATTTCTCCAGCATGCAGAGAGTAGATGATGGCGCAATGCCGCAATCCCCAAGTTGGGTGCTTTATATCGAATCCAATCCGTCCAACACATCTTGGGGTGCCAGTGCCACCTACTCTGAAACCAACCCTAGGGCGGGTTCCGTTCGCTCCTGGAGCCTCCTGGCACCCACCCCAGTCCCAAAACGAAACTACGACTGGAGCCATAAGCGGGGCCATGGGGTGGTGAATGGACACTCCTGAACCTCCATGCGGTTAGACACCCCATGGTAACCGGTCAATATTCCAGACATGGAGTGCCTGTGTTTGAAGGCTCTACTCCCATCACCTCTCGGGATGCCATCCCATGAGCCTCCAAAGGTGTCTAGGTACTTGGAGCCCTTTGGCCTCTAGTGCCATGTACATTCTCATCACCTCCAAGGCTCTACTCCCTGAGGAGGAGGCCTCCGACCTCTTGGGTGCTGGCCGGCGTTGGTGCCCTGAGGCGCGAACCACGGGTCGAAGAGGAGGTTTGTCAAGAACTTAGCTCTCAAAATCCTGTGTATAAAGGCTCGTCGAACACATCACTCATTGTCAATTAGCATCGAAAGAGAGCAAGTTCTGATGAAAGAGAGCACATACCATCTTAGATCTTTGTCAAGAACTTGCTCGAAACCATCACAACTTATAGTCATGAGGCTGATGGAAGATGGTCATGTGCTTCATGGGAGGCAGTTCATCACCTAGCAGGGGCGGATGCTTTCCCGTCTTCGTTCGATCGATCCGTTCGATTCGGTCGATGCTGCGTCTCGAAAAGCTTCCCTCCAAAACACATGCATGTGGATGGCATACCCTCATCCACATACCTTCAGAAGGCCTACATCAACAGTCTCCAATCACCTTCTGACAAGGTACTTGGATCCCTAGGGTATATGGGGGGTTCTATTGACTTATCTACAGATCTGGATATGCCCCCGCTGGAGTTGAATTCGGATGGTCTTTGGTCGGGGCCATCCACGTGGACCTTGGAGGACCTTGGAGGGTGTATGTTGGAACATGTGCCCCCCTGCCAGATGCAGCTTGTTGGGTCTGCCAGCCCCGGTCAGGAGGGCTGCTTGGTCTATTCCTCCCAAAGAGAATTGACCGTTGCTGGGCCGAAGCCGAACGGGCGGAAAAAAAGACCCCTAAAAAGCTGACATGTTTTTGAAACTGCATCATGTGGAATCATGTGGTGCTTCAAAGGCTGCTTCTTCAACACTGAAAATCTGTGGTCTTTGACATGTTTGAAATCGAGTCGTGCCTCGAATTTCCGCAGCATGGGCCATTAGTCAGAGACAGCCCTGCAGAGGGCCACATGAAACCCCAAAACCACTAGGTTGTAAGACCCGCGGGATCAACAAGAAGCAGGGTCCTCGTGAGTGGGTCTATTTTAACATGGTTGTTTTGAAGCTTGTTGTATCTAATCCTGGTGAGGCTACATCCTGCGTGGCAGGCGTGCTCTTTTTTTCAATCTATCAGAGGATTTGTTAGCAACAAATCATCAGCGAATCAATCGGCCCAGCACTGCCATGAGTCCAGAGATGTCTTTCAAAAGACTTCCCTAGGTAACCTGTGACCCAGTGATGAGTGATTGAATGGTCAATGCTTTTAGTATCTCAAGAGGACTCCAATGATCGATGAAAGGGGAGTTGGAATAAGTCTGGAACCTACCACGGCCAAATTGGGGGGTCGGAATTCTAGATGTTTCGGGGCTCTCTCTCTATATATAAGACAATGCGTTTGTTGAACGTTTGTTGTTGTTTACTTGGCACATATCCTTTTGCCATGGTTCAAGTCTCAGTTTCAACAGCATGCTGTTGGTCAAGACCATCAGGAGACCAAGGCCCGAACGTGAAACGGCCACGAAACGGCATGCCGCACATGACACCGAAGTAGCAACTCCTGGAGCGAGCACGGTGTCGCATGGCGCCGCACGGTGGTGTTCCTTGTTCCAACCACATGTCCCTCGTGATCAGGACGGACTAGATGAAGGATAGACATGTCTATTGTGTGTTGAATGCATGCCGCATCTGCGGTCCCCAGTGCCGTCCCCGGAGTCTTCAACACGGCCCCTTGGTTGTTGAAGCCACTGCTGGGACGCATTTGGACATCCCTCTTGTGCGTCTTGTGTGGCACAAGAGGTTCTCTATCGAGAAGGTCGTAAGGCACAGGCCAGCAACGCCTGGGTGGGTCATGAACAGACATCTCCGGGCATTTATTTATGAATATTTACGGTTTGGGTATGTTTTGGCATGGTCGCTTTCATTCTGGCTTGCTTGGTTGCTTGCTTGCTTGTTTGGTGAGCTAATACCTTGCATCCTTCGTTGTTTGGGGTAAGCAACTCATGGATCCGCCCGTCGTGGATCCCGCTCGTGGTGATCCGTTCGATCGAGCAGGCGCGGGCGCCCCATGGGGTCCGATCGTCATGGGACCTGAAGGCTTAGAGATTCGGACGATCACATGGAATCCGATCAATCGTCCGAATGTGATCGTCACACATGGAGTCTGATCAGACCTGAAGGCTTAGGATTTGAAGATCACTTTCTTCAAAAACCCCATGGCCTTGGTCACGATCAATGGCCTTGTCAACACATGTCTTCATCCGCATGGCTTTGATCACATGGCTTGGTGCTCTCAAAGCCGAACCTCCGGTCCCCTTCCCTCAAAGGTGACACGGGAGGTCCAGCGACTATTCTATCATCAGGACTTGGGTGTATCACCCAAATAGATTAACAGTGCAGTGCACCAGTTGTTCAGTGAGTTGGCCGAGCAACGGAGTGACATGCAAGAAAAAAGCAACGATTCTACCTTCCAAACATGCATGAAAGTGGATGGGCTGCCCTGTTTGCAGAGGAGTTCATGGTCTTTTCCAGGTCCAAGGATGGGCCTTCACATCTCCTGCCTCCAGGTGGCCCAGAGGATGGGCCTTCCAACAGACGCCTTGGAGGAAGGGCCGGTGAAGTCGGAGGTTTGGTAGTGCCGGTCGTGCCCATGGCGACGCACACATGGAAATGACAGTGGAGGGAAGTGAAGAACCCCCCTTGTTCGTATAGGAAAGTCATGTTCCATGGAACCATGCCATGTTAGAGTGAGTGTGGCTATGTGTAGTTGGTGAGGAAAGACATGTTCTTGATCTTGTGGGCAGGTGGAACTGGTAGTTGGTTTGGAATGCAAGCAGGGTGGACCCACATGTCCTCAATCCTTTCATCTGTGGAGCTTCAGAAGTGCCAGAAGCCGAACTTTGGATGCACAACGCAGGCCACAAAGGTCGCGTAGGCTTAAAGCCAACGATGCCCAAAGGCCTTCAGTTGGGCAGAACTAACTAAACTATACATCATACATCCATACCAGGTTACCCTAAGGGGCTTCTATTGATAGCCCCTTGGATGTTAAGGGTGTCCATTAACCACCCCTTGTGGGTCCTGGTATACATCCTCCTTACACGAATCCACATTGACATCATTTCTTGGAAGAGGTTTGCAGGAGGTGTCACTGGAGAGGACCAACCTGGACCGAGCGCCCCTCCCGCCCAAGGAGCAGCTGAGCTCCGGCGCGCGGCCTGCGGCGCCCAGTGACGCCAAGGCAAGTCGCCGGAACCCACTGAAACCGATGGATCGGGTCTTGGGAAGGGAAGCTCCGAATGAGAACTTATAGTGGATTGAGAGGACCAATGGCACAGACCCCAAGGTCGGTGGTTTATATGGAGCCCCGTTCTAAAGGACATCTTGGGGTCTGTGCAATCTACTCTGAAACCACTGTAGAGGAACTGACTCGCCTCCTCCAAGTAGCTTGCGACCGGCTTCAAATTGATCAACCTTCAAAGTTGTTGACCTGTTTTGATGGTTGTGTTTGTAACCCGTGTTGGGCACACGGATCCACGCGATGCCCCAAAGAAAACCCAAGCATGGGCTGCGGGTCAAAGCCGGGATACCTCGGTTAACCTACTACCTGGTGTCGGTCGTTCGAAGCAAATGGTGACCTGGTTGGGCTTCAGGTGGGTCACGATTCATCCCCATATCCAACAGAGGTTGAAGAAACCTAGTGATGTCCTTCCTTCTTCTTAGAACTCCATCGATATAGACATATAGTTAATATATGTTAATAAGGTCACGGAAAACCTCTCTTGGATGGCCAATCAGCTCACTGACCTGTAGGCCTTGTCTCTGGCCTGCCACCTTTTCGCAGGTCATCACAGCTCCAAGTCTGTCCGGACTCTTAAGTTCACCGCGCCCGTCTCCGGGGGCAGCCGAGACTCCGACCCCATGCGGCGTCGAGAAACTCGTGGAGGTGTGGTGGTTTCGGGTAGGCATTTTCAGGTGCCTCCAAGGTGATCCCAGGCATGTTGTTGTCCCTAGGAATCCGTTTTCGTAGCTTCTCTGGTAACGGGGGATGTGTGAGAACACTGAGGCCTGTAGGTGCCATCGGGTCCAGTCATTCCGAATCTGAGAAGGTACTTTCCTGGATGCCCTAGGGCGCTAGGGTTCAAGAACAGTCCAACAGCACCAATGGTGGAAGTGGAATGGTCCCGAAGACTCGGAGAACACCCTGAACTCCATGAACTTCATGATTCCAGAGACTTTCATTTCTCGAAATATCTCACAATCAGTTTTGACTCGACCCGTGACTGGCCTCCCCCCTCCCCAGTTGATCTCGAACCCCCTGACCTTCGATCTGGACATCAAGGTGGGCTTTTGGATCGATGTACAGAAAGATCAGAAAGCTAGTGGAGAAACATCTCCACTTCCCCAAAGCTCTTTAGTTCCCACCCGTGAACCTGGCAGTGTTCCCAACTCAGCTGCCGAAGGAGGTGAAGCCACATTTGCTGCCACTACGAAATATGGAGCAAACTTGTGGAATGAAGTTCCGGAAGCTACTCTACTTCTCAAAGGCAATCACAGGATCAACAGGTCACCCACCAACCAACAGGTCACCACCTGCCAGTTTAAAGTCTCCAAAAGCACAGGGGCTGCCTGCTGGAGGGTGCTGGTAATGAAGCGTTTTTGTGTCCCTCCTTTCGCATGTTGCACGGCCACCCAAAGACGGTCCAAGCCGTTATCACCATTCTCCTGCTGGCCATACAGCCAGCATGGTAGCAAGCGCAGACCTTCATCCGGCTCAGCATGACAGTAAGAGGGGTCCCTGAATCTATGGAGTCACCACAGCGATGCAACACTACGGTCATCTCGCGGGTTAGCTGCGTCCACTGAAGGCCCAAGAGTTACTTGGTGGCTCGAGAAATTTTGGCCATCCTCTTGGGAGCTCGGGGCCCCAGTGACATAGTGAGGCGGTGAGGATGATGGAGCAGGTTGAGGAACGAAGCACGCAGTTGACAGGGTTTGTTGACATTGCCCAATTCTTGGAAGCACCAGTGTACTTGAACGACTTGAATCACCTGAAGCCACTGGCAAATCATTTTGCCCTTTGAGACCGGTGTTGCAATATCTACGTGGACGGACCCTAATAGACATCTTGAGGTGCCACTGTATGACCCTTTGTCAAAGCTTCATGATGCTTCATGACGTTTCTGTCTCTTGCAGACCAAGATCAGCTACAGCTATGCCGGTCATATCCCAGACACTCCATGGGACTGCCGGACCTGTCTGGGGTGGTGCCAAGGGGGTCTAGACATACAGGGCGGCAGTCCGTCCTGGCAGTCCCATGCCCTTCGATCCACCGCCGCGCTGGCGCGTTCGCCTCGCCAGGCTGGCGCGGGCACCTTCGATGCTCGCAGTCGGGTCTGGAAACCCAGTGGGCACTCGGTGCGCAGTCGGTGGTGATGTCTTAGAGCAAGAGACTTGTGGGGTTCAATGATTAGGTCATACATGGAGTGTTTGGGTATATCAATGGCACCTGCTGTCTGACATGCTCCATGGGCACTTGGTAGTTGAAGGTTGTTCCAACAAGACCCATGAGACGAACTGGTGGAAAGAAGTGACCCCCCAAATCCAGGGCACCCTGAATGGACCATAGTTGGTAGACTCTTAATGATATTTCACCTACCACATTCGGATTGAAACACCGAATTCAAGCTTGGGCCATGGGGGGGGTTTACTCATACAACAGTTTGCATCTTAAATGGACCCCCTGAGAAAAGGGACACATGAGAAACATGAAACCCCGAAGATTAGGTGGAAGAAATGAGAAAACATGTAGACTCCTCAGTGATTGACAGTTCCCGAGTGGCAGAGTTCCCCGAGTAGCAGTACGGTGATGCCAGTCGTGATGCCAGTGAGGTGCCCTTTGTTTCGAACTCCCTAAGAGCCTTAAGGAGTGAACCGGTGCTCAAGTCCGAAATGAGTTTTCTTTGGTATAGCGCATTCCCCCCTCAGAAAGGAAAAAACAACGTCGGTCAGGTCGTTTTCCCTGTATGATGATGAGCCTTTTGGTCCAGACATGCCAGCTGTGCCCTGCTGTGCCCTGTGACCGGACTGTCAGGCAGCACTCCTAGAGATGTGTCTGGGCAAGGAAAGCTTTAAGAGAGGGGCATGTGAGCATACGGATGTGATGGGATGATGAGAGTTTATCGAGGGCTTTTCATACCTGAGGTGTTTTTCCTGTCTGGGGCCTGGGGCAGCAAAGTTTGACCGTCCCTCCCTTGAATCCTCACATTCGTTACGTTGAGCATGTGGAAGCCTTATGTAGCGTGGTGGTCAATTTGGAAGACAGGATGCAGCCATCCGCAAGTAGATAGCGCCCGCGTCTTGTCAGGCGCATAGTGCATTTTCCAAAGCACCCGATCATTCGATATCCAGCTGCCTTTGTGGGACATTCATCAGAATCCATCCTGCTTGTTGGGCTACAGAAGCACCTGGCCCACATGGTGTGGAATTTCAACGGTCCTTCTCCATCTTGACCAAGTTAAGGGAAAGAGCTTCCGCAAGTTAAGACAAACGCGTGAGACCTCTTGGCAAATCTTTCCAAGGTTTGCCCAGTTTGGTATCCCTTGCCATTTGGCAGCCAGCGCGAATCCTCAGCATCACAGAGAGATTGGTTTTCGTCATTTCTACATGCCAGTGGGTCGTGCGGATGCTGTTTATAAGGCGTTTGACCCAAATGTCCCCTGATGCTGGTCGAACATGAATCCGTCAATTGGGGAGGGTCCAGGTAGTTCCAGCTCTGGACTGTGCAAACAATGATGCTGATAGATATAGATTATGATAATTATAGATGATAGTTGATGATGGTGATGGTGATAATTATCACTATGATGAGGATGATGATTATGATGATGATGACGATGATGACGTTGATCGCGATGATGACGACGATGTTCGTAAGGAGGGCGATGAGAGGATGGCTGATTTTTCTTTTTGATGGTATAGTATAGTGGTTCCGCATCGGTTGCGTATGCAACTCTTTTCCAGCACCTCCCAAACATGATTTCATTCGATTCACCTGACCTCAACCATGGTAACTCAAAAACAAGAAGCACCTGTTTTTTCCTGAGATGCTACTAGTAAGGGTACTGTCTAGACCAATGTTTGCATCATTCAGCGTAGTTTCCGACATCCGTTCGCCACTCCGGATCGCGCACCACTCCGTCGCCCTGATCAGCCGTCAGGGTGGGAGTCCGAGATCGGCGGCGCTCTCTTCGAAGCACTCGAGGCTCGATGCGCCGAGCCGGCCCTCAAGCAGGGCCCCCGGGGTTTGGGCGGCCATTTTCGCTCGATGGAACCAGGGTCAGCTGCTGGGTCTACGATGGTTTGCGGGTTTGAGATGGTTTTGAGTCTTGTGAAGCCTGTGGAGCCGCTGGTTAGATCTGGTTACCGACTATAGTAGCAGTAACTGGATCCACTGGCAGATGCCTTTGGAGGCTACAGGCGTACAATTAGAGATGTGAGCATCTCTAAAGGCAACCCCACAGTCGGTGAAAAGAGTTGCCATTCTCTAACCAATGTGTCACTAAAGCAAGACTCATTGGTCGGGACAGGAGTGTATCTAATACAAATTCAATCAAATTCATTAATGTAGCAGGACAGCAATTCCGTTTTTAAACTGTTCGTGCTCGTAGGCCATTCAAGAATAGCACCAAATGGACAGAACGATAATTCTTCTTGCACGTCCAAAAGGGATGAAACGCACAAAACGAGAAGTGTACACTCGACAGCCGCTTTTATGCTCAAAAATAGGAGCGAAGGACCTTGCAGGTTCTGAGCCCAAGGTCGCAGGTGTAAGACCTTCTGGCAAGGGAAGGCGGCCCACTCGTTCTCCGCAGCCATGTCCATGGTCGTAAGACGGCGCAGACGAGCGCCGGGCGATGATGGAGAAGGTGAAGACGACGATCAAGGAGGCCTTCAACTACAAGAGCAGCCGCTGGAGGATGGTCAGCTGGCTTTGGAGGATGGTGAAGAGCAAGGGGAAGAGACCCTTGAAGGTCCGAAGGGACCCCCTACGACCCTGACGCCGATGATCCCGCTCTTCACGCCTGAGCAGTTAAAGGGACTTCATGAAGTGCAGAGCCAAGCTCCTCACCTATATGCTCAAGTCCCGAGGCAGAGCATCTGGCAGCCTGGTCTGGGGAACAGGTCGCCAGAGGAGGTGAAGAAAGAGAGGCCCACGTTCCTGCCGAAAGAAGAAGGTCCGGTGGGAGTGCTTCCACAGACGAGCACGACGACGGGGACACCATCACCGGCACTGGTGGGCGATCATGTACCAGATGACCAACGACGTGGACGACCAAGAGAACCACGGGTACCTGAAGTACAAGAGCCTGAAAGTGACAGCGATGGGCAACAACATCCCCAACCTAGAGAACAATCGGTGGCTCAGATCCAAGGGAACGGACCGGGAGGAAGAGGTCTACATGTTCCAAGAGGCTTTGGACAAACTGGCCCACCTGGGTACATCATGCCCCATGAAGAGAGGAGGGGACCTATGCCGCATCAAGGAGGATGGCAAGTTCAGCTACATCCCTATGGCCCTGGTCCGCCGAATCCACAGGAGATGATGACCATGTTGGCGATGTTGAAGCAGGAGAATCAACAACTGCAGATTCAGCAGGCAGAGCTCGTGGACGCCATGAAGTACCAGAGGGCGAGCCTGGAAGCCAAGGTTCATGACCTACAACGGGAGCTGGAGCAGCAGGCATTCAGAACGCCAGAAAGTGATGAGCCTGTGAAGCGTCAGCTGGAATTGACGGTCGACGAACCTCCGAGGGAGACGGATTTGGAGGTGGAAAGGCGTCGGCTGTATGAGTTGACTCCCATGCAGCAGTTCGAGCAGCTCCAATCCTTGATGGGGACGGTCACTCCGGCGCCAGCAAAGCGAGGTGGTCGGGGGCAAGGGCAACGAGAAAGGTCGAGATCTCAAGGTCCGAGAACTGCACGTCAGGGAGGGGGTCAACCTGAGGGCTTGGTGGCATCTCGGGCGAAGGGCTTCGAACCGGAAGGGAGACAAGGGACCGGGAAAGGAGTGGGTCAGCCGAAGAGGAAAACCATCGCCGAACAACCTGGTCGATCTTCAACAGCCAAGGCAAGGGAAGAACAACCTGGGGAAGGTGGTGGTGGCATGGCCGATGCGATGTCCAAGCTGATCACTTACCTGGTCGACAAGGACAAGAAACAGGAGGGGCCTGAGTCGGTTAAGCCGGGAACAGTACACTTCCAGTCCTGGCAGAGCCATCCGATACGGCCCCCATCGACCTGGCTGACTGGCTTACCATGGTGGAACCGGCGATGACAGATCTCAGCGATTCGTCGGGCGAGTGGTGGGAGTTGGTGGTGAGCGAGGCAAGGGCTTGGTACAAGCAGTACATCAAGCTCCGTCCGATTCAGAGGGCATCATCCAAGATTGAGCCGTCTGCGGAGCTGCAAAAGCCGAAATGGGCTCGAGTGGAGAAGAGGGCCATCAGCATGTTGCTTTCTTCGGTTCCCACGACCGTGAAGGAGGAACTGGTAGCAACGAGGACTTTGTCACCGCTGGGGCTGGTAAGCAAACTCATGGTCCTCTATCAACCAGGGGGTGCTCATGAACGCACCATCATCCTACGACAACTTGAAGATCCGCCAGAAGCAGGGTCGCCAAGCGAAGCCTGCATGGGACTCCGACGCTGGATGCGCTGGCTCAGGAGGGCCACCGACATTGGCCTGAACCTCCCTGATGCGATCATCCTCATGAAGGGCATCAACAAACTTAGCAAGCGGATCCTCACTCAACAACCGGATCTGCAATTCAGATGTTCCTTGGTCAAGAACACCTTGCAGCTTGATACCATCCCCAATGAGGAGACTGTTCGGACGTACGCTGAGCATTTACTCGCAGAACTTGAACAGCTCATGCATCGAGTTCGACCGTCTTCGAGTACCACGAGGCCTGGAAATCAGGGAGGTGGACCATTGGCAGTAAAGGCACTTCAAGGGGAAGACAGAGAAAAGAAGGGAGATTCGCCAACGACATCAGCGAAGGGTCCTTGCCGATATTTCCTCACAGAGTCTGGATGTCGAAGGGGACAGTCGTGCAAATGGGCACATCAACTGGAGACTGGCGACAAGCAGAACCAGGAGAGGAGGTGCTTCACGTGCGGGGCCACACAACATCTGGCTCGAGACTGTCCGAGGAAAGAGACGGCAAAGAAGGGAGAGGGACCTCCATCTGGCCAGAAACCGAGGCTTCAGAAGCTTTTGGACAAAACTGGTGGTGGTGGAAATGGAGAAGCTGAATCGAGCATGGGAAAAAGGTGGCCCAGGGCTACGGGCAGTCAAGATAGCTCGAGTCCAACAGGGTCGAGAAGGATTGCTGGATTCCGGGGCAACGCACGCTCTGAGGCCCAAGCTCCGAGGAGAAGATCTTCAGAGATATCGCCAAGTGAGGGTGACGTTGGCTGCTGGAGGAGCACAAGACATCCGAATGACAGAAGGGGAGACGTTGGTCCACAACAGTGAGAACGTGGAGCCGATTGTCCCGGCGGGAAGGCTCGTTCGCGACTTGGGGTGTCGAATCGAATGGATGGGGGAAGCGTGCACTTTGGAACACCCAGTCAAGGGCAACATTGACCTCAGAGTTGAAGCGGGATGCCCTCAAATGGACCATGATGTCGCGTTGGACCTCATCAGGGAGTTGGAGGAATCTCGGTCGAGGACGGCGTTGAGGTGCTACCGGTTTGGGGAGACCCACAATGACGTCGACTGGCTGGACCGTGTTGTGGCAGATTGTCCGATCTTTGACAAGGTCCCGATACGAATCAAGGATCGCTTGGTGGACACCCCAGCAAGGAATCTTGAAGTCCTTGGAGCCAATCGACGCATCCGCAAGCGCTGGAGAAATGAGGGAGTGGTCGTCCATCTGTATGCTGGCAAGAACGAGGGCTACGACCTCACACGGGCGCTCAAGGAGGCTGGTGGAGACACTACGAGGTTGTTGGAGGTGGATATCCTTCGAAGCCAAAGTCATGACATGTCCAAAGATGATGCGATGTACGCAGCACTGCTACGGATCGCTATGCTGGGCTGGATCGATGCGGTGATTGGTGGACCCAACTGCAGAACCCGCAGCGAACTACGTCACCATCCGGTCACGGGACTACCAGGGCCATCAAGATCCTTGGGAAGACCGTGGGGCTTGGATGAGTTGGACGAGGTGGAGAGGGCAAAGTGTCACTTAGACGATGTGCTGTTGCTGCGCATGGTAACGCTCTATGTGGTGGCCAAGCTGGGCCGGGATGCACGGTTGTCCCAGGAGAAGAATCCCGCGTTGCTGCCGACGGTCAGGTTCTTGATGGAGCAGCCCGCAGCACCTCAGCACATGCCGGAAGTAGCATCATTCTGGAGAACTGAGGAGTGGAGGATCATGAAGGAGCACCTCAACTTGGACATGGTGACCTTCAATCAAGGTGCCTATGGTGGTATGGCGGTGAAACCTACATCATTGGCACTGAACATGGAGTTCATGGTTCCCGAGGATCGGGGCCCACCCAAGGCCTTCCTGAAGACCAAGCATGAGGTGTCGAGCTCAGAGCTGGCGAGATGGACCCAGGAATGATGCGAGAGATTGCAAGAAGCATCACAGTCAATATCCAAGAAGAGGCGGGTGACGATGAAGGCCTTGTCTTGGCAAGAGCACCTGGCGCAAGGACATGTGCCGTTCCGCAGAGACTGCGCTGTCTGTCAGAGAGCAGCCGCACGGGATCGACCACATCGAGCTCAAGGAATAGCAGCTCCGTGTGTGCTATCGCTGGATCTGACAGGACCATTCGTGCTTGGCCATGACATTGACGGCGACCTCAAGAAATACCTCCTGGTTGGAGCATACACGTGGCCGGTCATGGAGGAGGCCCCATGGGACGAGGTCGAACAGCTCGAAGTGATCCCAGACAAGGATTGGCCGACACTCGAAGAAAAAGAGGCTCTTCGGGAGGTGGAGTACGACCTGGCCCAGGATCTGGAGGCTCATGGTGAGGAGATGTCCTATACGTCTGATGAGGGCGAAGATCTGGAGATGGGTGAGCCGGAGGAGGATGAACGGCAGGGCGAAGGAGACGGTGATCAGTTAGAGCCGCTACCTGATCCAGGACCCTGTGAACCAGAACCACTCTCGGTGCCGCCCCCAAAGACTCCGGAGGAAGTCGAAGAGCACCAGAAGGCCTACAAGATGATCACGATGTCCATTTGCCTGCCACTGACCTCGAAGAGCGCAGCAGAAGTCCTTGCTGGAACGCAGGAACTATTTGGAATGCTGAGACGCCACGGCTACCCTGTGGCTAGAATCCACACCGATGCCGGCCGGGAGTTCGACAACAACCCGTTCAAGAGGTGGTGCTTGGAGAGGGGGCTGGCGAGAACCTTCAGTCCTCCGGATGAACACCAATCGAACGGTCGTGCTGAGGCCATGATTGCGTCAATCAAGCAAAGGGTCCGTCGACTTCTACATGCTTCGGGCATGCCCACGAAGTGGTGGCCGGCAGCGGCTAGACACGTGACGGAGCTGGAAAGAAGGAGAAGGGAGAACATCAAAGAGACCCTCCCACGCTTCGGGCAGCTCATTACTGTGAGAAAGCGAGCCTGGGAGCGAGGAGGACCCTTTGAGGCAACGTCTGAGACGGTGACTTACCTAACCCCTACTCCACAGGTGTCCAAAGGGCATGCGGTTCTCACGGACAAGGAGAAGGTCAAGGTGGTGAGCTACTTGATCAAGGACGTCAAGGAACCTAAGCCTGACGAACGAGACTTGGTCATGGAGGAGGTTCACATCGAAGATGATCCTGTACGACTTCGCTGGAGGTTGAGGGAGAAGACACCACTGGCCTGCATCCAGGGCGAAGAAGACCTTCAAAGGGAGGAGGATCGTCGCCTGCTCTTCCAGGCCATCTATGAGGAAGAGGGTCACTTGTTGGGATCTGCTCCAAGAGAGGTTCCTCCGTTGAGCAGAGGCATGGTCGCCCTACGACAAGAACAGGTGGCATCGACCCAACGGCTTCTGGAGGACGAGATCTTGCAGACCCGAATCGTACCCAATGATGAGGTCTACAAAGACCGGGAGCTGTGGCTGGAGGCAATCATAAAGGAGATCCAGTCCTTGGAGGGCAAGAAGGCGATTCGGCGATTGACTCCCGCAGAAGTGGCCTATTACCAGAGGGAGCATGGAGACAAGGTGGAGGTGGTTCCAGGGAAAGCCATCCATGCGGTGAAGGCCCCTGACGGACGCAGAAAGTGTCGCTTGGTGGTGTGCGGGAACTACCTGAAGGGAGCTGGAAGAGGTCCTGGAGACCGTTCGGAAGCAGCTCAGCTCTACGCAGGTGGGGCGGACACTACATGCTTGAGGACCTCTTTGGCACTGGCCGCTGCGCGAGGCTGGCAGGCGGCTAGCCTGGACATCAAGACTGCCTTCTTGAACGCCCCTCTACGAACGCTTCAGGAGAGCAGCCGGAAGAAGGTCCTCGCCTTGGAAGACGCTCATGGTCGACTTCAAGAGGATCAAGAAGAAGATGGAGGAGGTCACGATGGTCAAGAAGGGGCAACCACGGAAGAGCAGCAGGAGGAGGACCTCACGAAAAGGAAACGCCTGGTGCTCATGCTCCCTCCAAAGATCCTCGTTCGACTGGGATTGGTCAAGGAGGGGGAAATGTGGCTGGTGGAAAAGGCTCTGTATGGCCTACGTGAGTCTCCGAAGCTTTGGGGGGACTACAGGGACATCGAGATCAGCCAGATGTCCTTTCAGGCGAACTCCGTCACCTATGAGTACCAACAGAGCTTCGCAGAGGAGAACTTGTGGTTGGTGCGCCGGAAGGATGCCGGAGATGGAGACCAGGTTGAGGGACTCGCCTTGGTGTACGTGGATGATGTGATGCTCTTCGGCGCCGGAGAGATTGTGAAGGCAGGGCTCCAGAGCTTTCGAAGGACCTGGGAGACGTCCGAACCTACGTGGGTGGGAGATCGTGAACCAGTTCGGTACTGTGGAATGGAGTTGAGCCGAACTGAACAAGGAGACTTCTTTGCCAATCAATGTTCCTACTTGAGGGAAGTGGTTCGGCGACATGGCATGGAGGACCTTTGCAGCGCTCAGATGATGAAGGAATCCCAGGAACCCGAGGATGAGCTGGATCGCACGCCCTTGCAGATCCGGGAGGCACAACAACTCGGAGGAGAACTTTTGTGGCTGGCGACGAAAACGAGGCCGGACATTGCCTACACGGTCAGCCGGATCTGCTCAGCGACGAGCCGGGCTCCGAAATGGGCGGTCCAAACCGCATACCAGCTGATCAGGCACTTGAATGCCACACAGGGCCTGGGCTTGTGGTACCGCAGAGACGCCAACTTCATCCTGGAGTCAGTGAGTGACGCATCCTTTGCTCCAGGAGGTGCTCATAGCCATGGCTGTGTGATCACGACGGTGGCCGGAGCACCGGTGGCATGGAAGAGCTGCAAGCAGCCGTTTCCGGCCCTTTCAACGGCAGAAGCCGAGCTCATCGAGGTCATCGAAGCTGTGGTTGTGGGAGACAGCATCGCATGTCTGGTTGATGAGATGGCGAAGGACGTCCCGAAGTTCCTCAAGTGCGACAACACTGCTGCAGTCTCAATAGCAAGCTGTGCAACTGGAGCGTGGCGTACAAGACACTTGAAGGTCCGGGCCGCCCACCTCAAATGGAGGATCCAGTCTGGTCAATGGGAGCTGAAGTACCAGCCTGGAAGAGAGCTCATCGCGGACATCGGCACTAAGGCGTTGCCAGTGGCTCGAATTAATGAGCTAAGACAACGGATGGGGATGTCATGGCAGCCTGACTCAGTTGACGAGGTGCATGAGGAGGACAAGGGCATTGTTGCGCCTCGTGCCATGAAGTTGGTCGCGAAGTACCACCTGGAAAAGGCCATGAGGCTTGTTATGGTGCTGTCGGCACGCAAAGAGGTGCATGGAGCTATGGCGGAGAACGTCACCAAGAATGTTGATGAGAATGTTGAGGGTGACCAGATCTTGTACCTCCTCAGCGTCATGATGATGTTGCTGGGAATGGTGCTCATGAAGGTCATTCAAAAATGCCGCTTGCATTGGAACCGGGTGGAGGACGATCCGGCGACGCGTAGAGTGAGGGTCTCTCGCTTGGCTGGTCAATCTTCTTCCGGGACAAGGGCTTCTACCAGACCTCAAGGAGGAGGAGATCGAGAGCCACGTCAACGTGATGGAGAATGGCAGCAAATGAACCAAGGGGGGCAGAGTGCTTCATCCTCATCACCAAGTAGTACCAGAATGAACGGAAGCGTTGAAGATGGAAATCAAAGGAGAGCGGATCCCACACTGAATGAGCCACAAGAGGAACCGCCAAATCAAGCTGACCTACCTAGAGGGCATCATCTACAGATCACCCTGACCGGGAGGAGGAGGCGATTCCCCAATGAGCCAACGTGGAAGGTCTGGTTCGCAGAGTCCAGCAAGTGCTTCCATAGACAGCGAAGCTGCAGGGGATTGAGGAAGGCCAACCGAGTTCATGAACAGCCGGTGTGTGGGGCTTGTCAGAGGGCCACTAGAGGTCAGAGAAGTCTTCAGGAGACGAGCTTCATCTATGAGGACCAACTCGGCAACTTCCACACCGACGCTCGGTGCAATGCCGTCACGGGACCGATGACTGAGATCCGACAGTGCAAAGTCTGCGGATCCTGAGGCGGCTTGAGCCTAGAGCTCACTTTTGAATGTTGGTCAATTGCTTGAGGCAAAGACCAAGGAGGAGTGCACGTCCAAAAGGGATGAAACGCACAAAACGAGAAGTGTACACTCGACAGCCGCTTTTATGCTCAAAAATAGGAGCGAAGGACCTTGCACTTCTAATCACACAGAGGCTTTTTTCCCAAGATGGGGAGCACGGCTGATCGGACGACAGGTCTCCAGCATTCTGGAGGACCAGAAAGCTTCCCGGAACAGCTGGCGCAGAGGAAAGGCGCCCCGCCACGCTCCGCCACGCCGACGGCGCACTGGGCAGGTCAACCGTCAGTATCCTGGTGGCATGGGCCATTTTCCCTCCCTCCAACAGACATGGAAGTGGAGTTCATCCCCAGTTGGTAGAGTCTTTCATGGTCTTTCCTTTGGGGCCATGCCATCCACGTAACCATGATGGTTTCTTTCACGGAGCATTTCCACGTCCCAAGTTGGAGGGGGTGAGCGATTTCCAAACCGATCGCAAGACTATTGACCTGGTTCCGGCTCATGGTGAACACATGTGAACAAATCAAGGGGGGTGGGCCGCACATATACCCTGGTCCTTGCCGCGGCACAAAAATGTCCGTTCGTCGCTTCCCTTGTCACTGATCATCACTGAAGACCCGATGGCTGTGGAGGGCTGTGGGTCCAAACCTGGAGCTCAAAACCCTGGTTGATGTTTAAAAAGGCTGTGGGTCAAAGAGTTATTAACAAAAAACAAGATGGAACCCACGAACCCGAATGTAAACACGTTCGAAAAACTACACAGGTCCAAATGACACTCTTGTAGGACACTCTTGTGGGACACTCTTCTGGGACACTCTTCTGGGACACTCTTGTGGGACACTCTTGTGGGACACTCTTGTGAGACGCTCTTGTGAGACACTCTTGTGGGTTACTCTTGTGGGACACTCTTGTAAGATACTCTTGCGGGACACTCTTATAGGACATTGTGAACACTCTTGTGGGACACTCTTGTAGGACACTCTTGTAGGACACTCTTGTGGGACACTCTTGTAGGACACTCTTGTGGGACACTCTTCTGGAACACTCTTGTGGGACACTCTTCTGAGACGCTCTTGTGGGACGCTCTTGTGAGACACTCTTGTGGGACACTCTTGTGGGACATTCTTGTAGGACACTCTTGTGGGACACTCTTGTGAGACACTCTTGTGGGTCACTCTTGTGGGACACTCTTGTGGGACACTCTTGTGAGACACTCTTGTAGGACACTCTTGTAGGACACTCTTGCGGGTCACTCTTGTGAGACAATCTTTTGTGACACTCTTGTAGGACACTCTTGTGGGACACTCTTGTAGGACACTCTTGTGGGACACTCTTGTAGGACACTCTTGTAGGACACTCTTGTGGGACACTCTTGTGAGACACTCTTGTGGGACACTCTTGTGGGACACTCTTGGGACACTCTTGTAGGACGCTCTTGTAGGACACTCTTGTGGGACAC